TTTTCAAGGATATTTTTTCGTGGATTTTTAAATAAACATTTTTTCAAGGCCTACTAAGGCGTGGATTTTTAAATAAAAAAATTTTCAAGGCCTACTAAGGCGTGGAGGGTGACTTAGGGGATGGTAGATACCAAGCAACGGCTCTGATTGGCTTTAAAATGGCAAAGTCCAGGCTTATCTTGGGCCCTCTTTCATCTCAGTTGAGGACACTGACCTCCCTGCGGAGTCACCTGGGGTAGCTGCTTTCATCATCCGTAGAAATAGTGAGCTGATATGTGCCCTGAGTTCACCCATAACAACTGTAAAAAATGGGTTGAGGCGTCGGGTTAGTTGCTTACACTCGGAAAACCCCTCCTACTATGAAAAGGCAACGAAAAAGAAATGTTGACGACTCCGCAAACGTATCAATGACCACGATCTGCGAATCTGCACTTGGAATGTGCGCACGTTGTTCCGAACAGTCGCAGTTTTCGTTTGGCGGAAGTCAAAGCCGATATTATTGCGTCCAGATGAGCGAATTGCTATAATCCGTATAAAAGCGAAGTTTTTCTACATCAGTCTTATTTGCGCCTAGACAAAGATGAACAGACCAAAGACATTTTTTACGAGCGCCTATAAACAGTATATGACTGCTGTCCTGGTCATGACATTGAAATTCTACTAGAAGATTTTAATGCAAAAGTCGGAAGAGAAAATATTTAGAAACATCCGACAGCTGCATTAGGTTGATTGACTTCGCGGCAGAAAAAAACATGGTAGTTAGCAGCACCAGATTCAAGGATCTCGATATACACAATCTCACCTGATCAAGCAACGAGTAATCAAATTGATAATGATGTGATATTTTGGCATTTATAAAGTGTTTTAGACGTTCGATCGATCCATGGAGCGAATATCGACCATTACCTTGTGGCAGCCAAGGTTCGCACACGTCTTAGTGTAGCAGCAAAGGTGCGATCAAATGTAACCAGGAAACTCGACGTCGAAAAGCTGCAAACAGCAGAAGCCTACTTCGCTCAACTTACCCATTTGCTTGACGAAAAGACTCCTTGTCGCGATAATAATATAGAAGCACAATGGCAAAGAATTGCCACTCCCTACAAACTGCAGCAAAAGCAACACTTGGGTACCAAAAACCACCATTAAGAAACCCATGGTACGATCAGGAGTGTTGCAATGCTACTGATGTGAAAAACGCAGTGTATAGGGCAACGCTGTAGACAGTAGCAACACCTAATGCGATTGAGGATTATCGGGAGAAAAACAAGAGAGGAAAAACATATTTTCAAAAGAAAGAAGAAAGAACAAGAAAAACGTGAGTGTAAGTAAATCTGGAAGTTCAGGAGTCAGAATGAAGTTCAGAAATTTTACCAACGACTAAAACACCAAATCGAAGGCTTCGCTGCAGGCAAATTCTCTTGAAGAAGGAAACCTGGTGACAGATACCGACAGCGTGTTGAGGATCTGGAAGTGGCATTTTGCAAAGCTTCTGGTATCAAACAGTAACGGGGAAGAAGATACCCCAGAACCAATAAGAGATGACGGTATAAATTTTATACCATCTAGGCAAGATGAGGTCAGCAATAGCAATTAATCGGATGAAGAATATTAAAGCAGCAGGCGGTGGACAGACGCTGATAAGGAGCATGCACCAACTGATTAGTACAATTTGGTTAGAAGAATGCATGCCCAATGATTGGAACCTCAGCATCCTGTGTCCCATGATAAAAAAATGATTAGTCTCCTTCCCATCGCATATAAAGTGCTATCCATCGTGCTGTGTGAAAACTAAAGCCAATGGTCAATGGCATTATTGGAACATACCAATGCGGCATCAGACTTGGTAAATCCACCATAGACCAGATTTTCACACTGCGCCAAATCCTAGAAAAGAACCAAGAAAACCACATAGAAACATTCCACCTATTCGTGGACTATAAAGCCGCATTCGACATCCCAAAAAAGGTTGCGTAAAAATATGTGTATAACATGGAAGAAATTGTAGGTGTGTGATTAAATTATCCATGGCTTCAAGAAAAAAATCTGCTTGGAAAAGGACTGTTTCTAGAATGAAGACAAATGTCGAACCTTGACAAATTTGAATTTAATTCGCATATGCAAGTTCGAATCAGTGCGGAATAAATACAACTTATCAATATACGACCTTTGTAAAGCCACATAGCATAATATGCCTGATGAGCCGCTTAATCAACGGCGAAACGCGTTGCATAATGGTGGGTATGTAGGTTCTTCTCCTGGCAAATGGAAATGAGGTACTAAGAAATATAAACGAAAAAATGGGTCATTTAGAAGTGGATAAATGTTATTTAAAAAAAAATGAGAGTTCATTACTGTTTTTCGGCAACTGAAGCTAAAGATTGACAAGTACAGGAAAAAATTGCATGAAGTGAATTTTGTATTCTGCCCTTCAGCGCGAGATCACTACACAGTACCTCGAAGAAGCCAAGGCCTTTCCAAACAATTCATTTAGATCATTTGGGTCTATTGCCATCACTTCAGTCAAAGAGAAAATACATTTTGGTTATTATTGACGCATTTACAAAGTTTGTTAGATTGTACCCGGTTCTCACGACAAGCTCTAACGAAGTCAAGGCGACATTATTAAAGTATTTCGACCACTACAGTAGACCAGTTAGGTGCATATCAGATAAAGTGACTTGTTTTACTTCGAAGGAGATTTCCGAATTTTTAGAAGAAAAAATATATAGACCATGTGAAAGTAGCAGTGCAATCGCCTCATGCGAACGGACAGGTTGAAAGAGTAAAGAGAACACTATCAGGCTTGTTGGCTAAATTAAGTGAACCAGTAGAATAGGATGAATGAGTGAAACAATTGAGCCATATAGAGTTCGCTTTTAATAATATCGTAAACAGGTCTATATGTGAAACTCTAAAAGAACTTTTGGACCTCAGGGAATGGGGGTATTAAGGAAATTAGAAACAAAGCCGAAGCTGTTATATAAAAACAGGGAAGTACAGCGAACAATGGTCTAAGGAAAAGGGTTATATGACCAAATCATTCAAAGTCGGAGACTTCGTAGTAATATAGAATGTAGACACAACAGTAGGAGTTTACGAAAAGCTATTGCTAAAATGTAAGGGTTCTTATATCATAAATAATATGCTTCCAAAATATAGATACATAGTCAATGACATTGCAAATGGTCAGATCAGCCAAATTCCTTATGATAGAGTAATCGAATTTCGTAACATAAGACTGTGGAATATGGATGACGCATTTGAAGAGATCCAGAGATGCTCTGACCCATAGTGTATATAGTTTAGCATAATTAGCTTAAGTATATAGAATAATTCATTAAGTATATTCACCCCTAGTATAAGTAATTTAACCACTGTGTGACCGGGACGGTCACCACTGTCAGGTTGACCGAGCTGTAGTAGAATAAAATAGGGAACCAGTCTGTTGTAAATAATTATAGAACAAGTTGATTGTGAATACCAAATAGGTACGATCATTAAAATACAACCATGTATGTAAAATAGAATTCAGAACAAGTAATGATGAAATAAAATAAGACGCCATTCGGTACGATTGCAAGTTCTTAGCCTAGCCCAAAAAACGGTATAAACAGAAAAAAGTTAAGTGTTTTGGAAACTTCCATCTCTGTTATGAACACATGTTAAATTTTGTTTCGATCTGACAACTCCTTCATATAGAAACAGGTGTTCAAAAAAGACGCATCCGAAATTTTGTTTACAATGAAAACGAGCTTTTATTCCTAATGTTTAATGTTTCCATTGTAAAAAATTGCGGATGAACACCTGTTTCTATATGAAGGAGTTGTCAGATCGAAACAAAATTTAACATGTGTTCATAACAGAGATGGAAGGTTCCAAAACACTTAAATTTTTTCAGTTTTCCACATGAAATTATGTAATGTTTGTAGTTGAACGTTCTGTAAAAAGAATACGTTGGGCGCCATCTGTTCACTTTTAAGATTTTAGGTGAATGAACAATTCTTTAAGCGCATGAATGACCTTGGTGAGTATATTGAGAAGCCAAAAAAAAAGACTAATGGGAGGTAAAGTTTTTAAGTTTTGACGGGATAAATTTTTTGCTGGTAACTCTAAAATCCATAAAGAAAAAGCTTCATTGACATGGCATGTCTTCAGTCAAATCTAATGAGTAATAATTTTCTAAAACATATCCTTCTTCTAACTTGAGTCTTTGTGCGTTTTTTGGATTATACGTTCTTGAATCCTTAATTAAATACCATAAAACTCGATTTTGGAGTTTAAATAATCTACAAAATTTCAACCTCATAAAATTTTGTTGATTATTTTGTACCCTAATCTAAATAAAATAAAAATATTCATTTCGCAAATATTTTAATTACAACATATCCTACCAATTATTACTGCATTAAATTTTCGAGTGTAATTATTGAAATTTTAACGCTCGACTAAGCCCCATGCCAGCCGTTACATAGAGTCAGTAGCAAAAGTACACTAACTATATAAGTTCTATACTATATTGTAAACATAAAAATATGAGATAAACATGATCGAAGTTATAATTCTTCCAGACATATCATCATCATCACCAACATCCGAGATAACCAAAAAACAATTCGTGGTCGTAGTACCAACACCAAAAAAATTTTATTTCTCAATGACTGGGTGCTAAGTCAGTTTGTTGACACAAGTCGAAGAAGAAGAGAACATAAGGCGTACAAATAATAGTAGATAGGTTCAACAAAAAATATATACATGAACAGTGTTCGTATATTATTCACTTTGCACCAGCAAGATGCAATCATAACGATCTCAGCTATCGTCCAGTGAGGAAGATTTTTTCGAACGAAAATTTAAATAACGTGTCGTCGGCAGTAACTGACATAATTATAACAACAACGATTGTATTGTAACATAATCTGATTTTTTGTGGTAGTGAATTTAATTCATTCGTGTGAAACGACATCAAGAATAAAATATTTGAGTGTGTGTGTGTAAAATTAAGGACAAGATGTCAGAAAAAATTAATACGGTCAATGCTAATGGCACAAATTTAAATATACCCCCACTTAATGTGGCCATTATTGGAGGTGGATTAGTAAGTTTGAAAAATGTTTGAATTGAAAAAATAAATGTTAACAATAATAAAAATAATATATATTTACAAAGGGTGGATTTTTTCAAATTTACACATATATATATATATATATATATTTATGCCCTTCACCACACTGTAGTACAGGGTATTATGTCTTTGTGCATATGTTTGTAACAGACAAAACCAGTGAGCGGAGCAGTATAGTCGGACGGCGCCGACCATACGATACCCTACACAACTACCACGGAACTCAAATTTTCTGCGGATGTTTATTCCGAGCTTGGGCAATATTTCGTGATATTTGCACCCTCTTGCCCGATTAGAGGTAAACAGCACCTCTTCCTCACACTGACATATTTTCCGAATATTATGAGTATTCAGTACAGCTATTGTCCAGATTCCCTTCACCGTGGGTTGTGTTGTGATGTTCGGCTTTCATTTGTGGTCTATAGATCGACTCGAATATAACACAAAAAATTAAGTTTTCGGTCCACTTCATTCCAAAATTATTATCTGATCATCACCGAAAATTATAGGCGTTGTCCTTGACCATACCTGGAACCTCATGGAACATTTTAAAGCGATCAGCGCTATAGTTGCGCTCTCTAGAGTGATAATGGGTTACTAAATAATATACGAATACGGATATACCTGTAAATATTTAGGTGTAACTCCCACATCCGAGCACATACAACAATATAATTGGTCTTAATATAAAAGTCAACCACTCCTCTTGGATATAATATCAACTTCTCGGGTATATGTCCTTCAGTGGTAAATATACATGCTGTAGAATACAAATTTTGTAATTTTTCACACAAAAGTCAGGGTCCATTTGACCCGCTAAATATTGACCGATCTTTATCAAAGCAGGCATGCTTATTCTTTGGCCCGATCCCCTTCTCCATGCAAAATTTCACGAAGTTCAGGCCATTACTACGGCCTCTGGAGCAACCCGAAAAACCGAAAAAAATTTAGTATTTGGTCCATTTCATCCCCTAAATATTAACCGATCTTTCCCATAAACAATAGGGGTCTTCATTGGGCCGAACCCATCCTACATGCAAAATTTCGTGAAGATTGGTCCATAACTGTGGCCTGTATCGTGTTTACAAATTATAATGGACAGACCGACGGACGGACACACATGTCTAGATCGACTCAGCTAGTCGAGATATGACGATCGGTATACTTAAAGGTGGGTCTAGCACCAATATTTCGCGGCGTTACAAACTTTTGGGGCTGCACGAATCTATAATACCCTGACAACATAGTTGTGTAGGGTATAATGAAGCGAGATAGGCACATGGATCCTTTTGAGAATACGCATAGAATCACTTTACAAGTCGATGTTAAATTGTCCATCTGTCCATGTTAAATTGTAAACAAAGTACAAATCGCATTTATGATCCGATTTGGATGAAATTTGGCATAGGTCACTTATTTGGTCCAAGGACGAACCCTATTGAAATTGAAAAAAGAAAATCGGTTAAGATTTAGATATAGCCCCCGTATATAATTTCGTCTGATTTAAGATAAATGGGTCACCAAAGTCCCTAAATATCTTTCGATTTGCATGGAATTTGGCATAGAGTTCTGAAATAGGCCCAGAATGATGTATGCTAAGTTTCGTTAAAATCGGCTCAGATTTAGATATAGCTCCCATATATAGTTTTGTCCGATTTTATGTAAATGGTGCACTAAAGTCCTTATATATCTTTCGATTTACATGAAATTTGGCATAGAGTTCTGAATTTGGCCAGAATGATGTATGCTAAGTTTCGTGAAAATCGGTTCAGATTTAGATATAGCTACTATATATAGTTTTTCCGATTTTATGTAAATGGTGCACTAAAGTCGTCCGATTTAAGGTAAATGGGGCACCCAAGTCCCTATATATCTTTCGATTTGCACGAAATTTGGCACGGCGTACTCAGTTGAGCCTAGAATGACGTGTGCTAAGTTTCGAGAAAATCGGTTCAGATTTAGATATAGCTCCCGTGTATAGTTTCGTCCGATTTAAGGTAAATGGGAGACCAAAGTCTCTATATATCTTTCGATTTGCACGAACTTTGACACGGCGTACTCAATTGAGTCTAGTATTATGTGTGTCAAATTTCGAGAAAATCGGTTCAGATTTAGATATAGCTTTTATATATTTGTTAAGGTAAATGGGATACACCCAAGTCCCTATGTGTCTTTCGATTTGCACGAAATTTGGCACGGCGTACTCAATTGAGTCATTTAAATAAGTTTGTCCCATTGTACACAAACGACTCTTAATCTGCCGGTATGAAATGAAACTTAGCATAGGTTTCAGAATATTTAAGTTCGTTCAATTCGTTCATATTTAATTTCCTTCAATTTCATGTCAATGTTCCTTTGAAAAGGCGACGTCTATTAGGATATATGTAGAATATATCAAAGTGGTTCTCTCGAAATATATTTTTTTTCGAACATCTCAGAGTAGTGGATTTTATAAAAAAAACTATTTTTTCGAACAACTCAGAGGAGTGGATTTTATAAATAATATTTTTTCGAACATCTCAGAGGAGTGAATTTTTTTAATAATATTTTTTCGAATATCTCAGAATCGGCTATTCATTAAATAATATTTTTTTCGAGCATGTCAGAGTGGTAGATTTGTTAAAATTTTTTTAGAATACCTCACCAGCGTATATCAGCCCTCGTAGTATTTTCATGCTACTCGTTTGTAAAGAGTTTTGAACAAAATAACACAACAAATGCCCATTATTGATTTTTTTTCTGCTTCTATATGTTGTAGGTTGGTTCATTGGCCGCTTTAAATTTTGCTCGCAATGGACACAAAGTTGATTTATATGAATATCGTGAAGACATTCGAACAGCCGAACTGGTGCAGGGTCGTAGTATAAATTTAGCTCTTTCACAGAGAGGACGCAAGGCATTAGCTGAGGTGGGCCTAGAAGATGTGGTGCTGTCAACAGCCATACCAATGCGTGGTCGTATGTTGCATGACATTAAGGGTCAAACCTCCGTGGTCCTATATGACCCTTGTACCAACCAATGCCTCTACTCGGTGGGTCGTAAACATTTAAATGAAATTTTATTAAATGGTAAGTAGATCAGCTTTGGAAAATTTCCAAAAGGGGAGGATTTGACACGCGTTGAAATTTATTTGTTTGTTTTTCTTTTACAGCTGGTGAAAAATTCCCCAACATACAGTATCACTTTCGCCACAAACTGAAAACGGCAAATCTTCAAGAGGGTTCCATGCGTTTTCAATGGTAAGTTGCCGATGTCGTTGTTGTTGGCTTATCTCTATCTTATGAATGAAAAGTAAATAAAACCGAAAAAACGAGAAGCATTAAACATTTCTTATCTTCATTTGTTTTTGTAGCGACTATGGGGACCAGCCATTGGCCGAAGCTACAGCTGATCTTATTGTTGGCTGTGATGGCGCCTTTAGTGCGGTACGCCAACAAATGTCCAAGACATTGGGCTTCAATTTCTCACAGGAGTATATTGAACATGGCTATTTGGAATTGTGTATTCCCGCCAAGAATGGTGAATTCCAAATGCCACCAAATTATTTACACATTTGGCCTAGGAATGAATTTATGATGATTGCCCTGCCGAATCAAGATAAGTCATTTACGGTTACTTTGTCAATGCCCTTTAAAGTATTTGCTGGTATTACAACACCCAAGGAGTTGTTGGAATTTTTCCATAAATATTATTGTGATGCTGTGCCATTGATTGGCGAGGAGTTGCTCATCAAGGATTTCTTTAAGTCCAAACCGCAGTTTTTGTTGTCGATTAAGGTAAGGAAATTGGAAAAAATATTAAAAAAAAATTAAATATCTCCAAAGCATAGATTTTTAAAAATACATATTTTTTCAAATATACCCAAGGCGTAGATTAAAAAAACATTATTTTTTATTTCGAATATTTTATGATACTAATTGAATTTCTATACCCTTCACCACATTGTGGTACAGGGTATTATGTCTTTATGCATATGTTTGTAACAGGCAAAAGGAATCGAGATAGACCCATGGTTCCTTTTGAGAATATGCATAGAATAATTTTCTGAGTAGATTTACGCATGTCCGTCCGTCCGTCTGTCCATGTATTTTTGTTAAAGTACAGGTCGCATTTATGATCCGATTTGGATGAAATTTGGCACAGTTCACTTATTTGGCCCAAGGACGAACCCTGTTGAAATTGGAGAAAATCGTTTCAGATTTAGATATAGCTCCCATATATAGTTTCGTCCGATTTAATTTAAATGGTGTACCAAAGTCCCTATATGTCCTTCAATTTGCACGAAATTTGGCATTGCGAACTGGATTGAGTCTAGAATGATGTGTGTAAAATTTCTTGAAAATCGGTTCATATTTAGATATAGCTCTCATATATAGATTCGCCCGATTTTAGGTAAATAGTCCACTAAAGTCCCTGGAAACATTTTGATTTTCACGAATTTTGGCAAAGCGTACTGAATTAAGTCTAGAATGATGTGTGCAAAGTTTCGTGAAAATCGGTTCATATTTGGATATAGCTACCATATATATTTTCGTCCGATTTAATGTAAATGGTGCACCAAAGACCCTATATATTGTTCGATTTGCACGAAATTTGGCATGGCGTACAGAATTGAGTCTAGGATGATGTGTGCTTGGTTGCGTAAAAATCAAAATGATGTGTGCTAAATTTCGTGAAAATCGGTTCAGATTAAGATATAGCCCTACATATATTTCGTCCGATTTAATGTAAATGCTGCACCAAAGTCCGAATATATTTTTCGATTTGCACGAAATTTGGCATAGCGTACTGAATTGAGTCTAGAATGACGTGTGCAAAGTTTCGTGAAGATCCGTTCATATTTATATATAGCACCCATATATATTTTCGTCCGATTTTACATAAATGATGCACCAAACTCTTAATGGTTGTCCGATTAATACGAAATTTTGCACAACGTATCAAATTGAGACTTGAATGACGTTATTGGCTTTTGTTGAAATTGGTGCAGATGCAGCCATAGCTTCAAACGGGTGTCTGATTGAAATTTTTAACAGTGCGGCGTACCGAATAGCCTGTATCAATTTTGCTATAGGGACAAATTTATGTTAGGCTGCAGAAATCCATGAGTATGACATGCAATGGATACATATGTACAATATACCCAAAGTGGTGAAGGGTATCATATAGACGGCCCAGTCCGACTTTACTACTTTCCTTACTGGCTTCAAATAATCGCAAGGCGTGGATTTTTAAAACAATATTTTTTCAAATATCCACAGGGCTCGGCCCAGTCCGACTTTACTACTTTCCTTACTGGTTTCAAATATTCGCAAGGCGTGGATTTTTAAAACAATATTTTTTCAAATATCCACAGGGCTCGGCCCAGTCCGACTTTACTACTTTCCTTACTGGTTTCAAATATTCGCAAGGCGTGGATTTTTAAAACAATATTTTTTCAAATGTTCACCGGGCTCGGCCCAGTCCGACTTTACTATTTTCCTTACTGGTTTCAAATATTCACAAGGCGTGGATTTTTAAAACAATATTTTTTCAAATACCCACAGGGCTCGGCCCAGTCCGACTTTACTATTTTCCTTACTGGTTTCAAATATTCGCAAGGAGTGGATTTTTAAAACAATATTTTTTCAAATATCCACAGGGCTCGGCCCAGTCCGACTTTACTACTTTCCTAACTGGTTTCAAATATTCGCAAGGAGTGGATTTTTAAAACAATATTTTTTCAAATATCCACAGGGCTTGGATTTTTAAAAAAATATTTTTTTGAATATCCCCAAGGCGTAGATTAAAAAAAAAACATTATTTTTCATTTCGAATATTTTATAATACTAATTGATTTTTTTTTATTTTTTAGTGCGACCCCTTCCACTTTGCCGACAAGGCTCTCCTGCTGGGTGATGCTGCCCACGCCATGGTCCCCTATTATGGACAAGGTATGAATGCGGCCATGGAAGATTGTACTCTTCTCTTCTCCATTCTTCGTGAACCAAATATGACAATAGGCAAAGCGCTGGAAACTTTCACAGATCGGCGTGTCAAGGATGCCCATGCCATTTGTGATCTGGCCATGTATAATTATGTCGAAATGCGTGATTTGACAAAACGTTTCTCGTTCAAGTGTCGTAAATTTTTGGACACTACCCTATTTCGTTTCTTTCCCAACTTTTGGGTGCCACTCTACAATAGTGTCTCTTTTACCAGTATGCCGTATAGTAAGTGTATAGCTAATCGTAAATGGCAGGATGAGGTGAGTATTACATTTTTGTAAGGATTTACAACAAATTTACACAAATATTTTATTTTTGCAGGTTTTAACAAAGGTCTGGTACACAGTATTGTCATCAACGGTGTTATTAGTTGGAGCCGTTTATTTAGTTAAAAATAATTAAGTTATATAATTGTTTTTATTTTTCCTTATTTTTCATATTTACTATTTATACCCTTCACCACACTGTGGTACAAGGACGAGCCCTATTGAAATTGGGAAAAATCGGTTCAGATTTAGATATAGCTCCCATATATATATTCGTCCGATTTAATGTAAAAAGTCCCTATATATCTTCCGAATCTTCGGAAATTTGGCAAATCGTAATGAATTAGGCCCAGAATGATGTGTGCTGAGTTTCATGAAAATCGGTTCAGATTTAGATATAGCTCCCATATATAGTTTCGTCCGATTTTATATAAATGGTGCACCAAAGTCCCTATATATCTTTCGATTTGCACGAAATTTGGCACAGCGTAATGAATCAGGCCTAGAATGATGTGTGCTGAGTTTCATGAAAATCGGTTCAGATTTAGATATAGCTCCCATATATAGTTTCGTCCGATTTCATATAAATGGTGCACCAAAGTCCCTATATATATTTCGATTTGCACGAAATTTGGCACAGCGTAATGAATTAGGCCTAAAATGATGTGTGCTGAGTTTCATGAAAATCGGTTCAGATTTAGATATAGCTCCCATATATAGGTTCGCCCGATTCAATGTAAATGGTCCACCAAAGTCCCTATATATCTTTCGATTTGCACGAAATTTGGCACAGTGTACTAAATTAGGTCTAAAATGATGTGTGTTAAGTTTCCTGAAAATCGGTCCAGATTTAGACATAGATCCCATATATATATATACATATATATATATATATATACATATATATATATATATATCCGTCCGAAATTTGGTACAGCGTACTGAATTAGGTCTAGAATGAAAATCGGTCCAGAGTTAGATATAGATCCCATATATATTTTTGTCCTATTGTCCTATTTTGTCCGTAATGAATAAGGTCTAGAATGATGTGTGTTTAGTTTCGTAAAAATCGGTTCAGATTTAGATATAGCTTCTATATCTGACCAAATGAAAAATTTAGTATCGTTTGCAGAATGACATGTTTATGGATCCAATTTCATTTTACTGGTTCTTTAAAAATGCGACGTCTGTTAGGATTCATCTGTTGAATATACCTAAAGTGGTGAAGGGTATCATATAGTCGGCCCCGTCCGACTTTACAACTTTCCTTACTGGTTTAAGTTATAAGTTATTGTTCTTGCCATTAGTTTTTCGAAATAAAAAAGTATTTTTATACAAAAATAAACATTTTGATATCATTATTAAAGGAGAACTTATAATGAGAGTTGCAAGGCGGGTACAGTGTTCGAATTCACATCGCACATTTTATGTTTATATATCCTCAGCCTAATGGCCTTATGTAATTTCTTAGCTGGATTATGACAGAATAGTTGTTCCATAAGCCGAGAATAAAAAAAGATTTCCAGGCGTGTCGGTCTTGTGGGCATCTCAAAAGATGGCCTAGCCAACGTAGTCGCTGCAGCTCGATCCATCTGTCTATTTCGATGTCCGAGAATAGATGATATAGCTCATGGTTCATTCGACGGCGATATTCACCATCGATGCAGATCGGCCCATACGTCTTCCGGAGATTTTTTCTCTCAAACACTCCAAGAGCTGCCTCATCTGTTTGCGCAAGTACCCATGCTTCAAATCTATACAACAACACGGGTAATATCAGCGTCTTGTAGAGTGTGAGTTTGGTCTGGCGAGAGGTGGCCTTGCTTTTGAATTGCTTACGCAGACCATAGTAGCATCAGTTGGTCAACACTATTCTTCTCCGGATTTCAAAGCTGATATTATTCGTTTTGTTTATGGCGGTACCGAGGTTTATTGCGGTACCGAGGTATAGCTGTAGTTTTCAAGTTCCACAGTTTGTCCGATCTACTGGACGGCTTGCGCCATTTACTGTCAGTCCCAATTTGGCTGACTTCTTTTCAATTCGTTCAAAGGTGGCTATTATCGCTCGCAATGTTCGACCCATTATGTCTATGTCGTAGGCGAGTAACTAATGCTGTTTGGTGTACAGAGTGGCATTTCTGATCACCTTTGCGTCTCGTATGATATTTTCCAGAAGGATGTTAAAAAGATCACACGACAAACTGCCACCTTGTCTGAATACTCGTTCGGTATTGAAGGGCTTCGATAGGTCCTTTCTTTCTCTAGCTGCTGAACTTGTGCCACTTAAAGTCATCACGCATAGCCGTATTCATTTTGCAGGAATGCCAAACGCAGACATCGCTTTAAACACGAATGGGTGCAGTGTGTTTTTTCCAGGATCTGGCGCAGAGTGAAAATCTGGTCAATGGTGGATTTGCCAGGCCCGCATTGGTATGTTCCAAAAATGTCATTGACAATTGGCTTCAGCCGTTCACAGGATGCTGAGGTTCCAATCATAGGGCATGCATTCCTCTAGCCAAATTGTACTGATCAGCTGGTGCATGCTACTGACTACCGGTCGTGAATAGTTCGACTGGGAATCGGTACTTTTTGCTTTATTATTCCTCAGCCGATTGTTTGCTATTCTGACCTCATCTTGACTAGGAGGTATACACTCTATAACCTGTATGTTCCTTCCAGGTCCTCAACACGTTGTCTGAATCTGGTTTCCTTCTTCATCTCTATAGGAAGATGTGCCCGCACCAATGCTTTCGGTTTCGTGTTTTACTCGTTGGTAAACATTTCGGACTTCATTCTCACTCCTGTACATCTCGATTTGATCACGCTCACGTTTTCTTATTCTTTCTTGTTGTTTTCTGAAAATACGTCTAATTTTATCCCGATAATTTTCCATCGCATTACGTGTTGCTATTGTCTGCAGTGTTACCCTTTAGGATGTGTTTTTCTCGATGGTGGTTTTTGGTACCCAAGTGTTGCTTTTGCTGCAGTTTGTAGGGAGTGGGCAATTCTTTGACATTGTGCTTCTATATTGTTATCGGGACAAGGAGTGCATTCGTCAAGCAAGTGGGTAAGTTGAGGGGAGTAGGATTCTGCGAACTTTGGCTGCCACGATTCGATATTCGCTCTTCGTACCGATCGAACGTCTGAAACACTGGACGAATGTCTTCCGTCTATCACAACATGGTCAATTTGATTTTTCGTTGCTTGATCAGAGAAATTCAGGTGGTCTTGTGTATATCGAGATGCTTGAATCTGGTGCTGCTATCATGTTTTGGCCTTATGTGCTCCATCGAAATATTGGTTTTAGACCACATGTTTCTTTGGACCAAATTAGTTTCACACAATTTGGAGTCGATTTATAAATATCCGTCCGTCAGTCTGTCTGGTCGGCACGATAACTATCCCAGTGAGTAACCGATTTCATCCAAACTTTGCACATTGTAATATTTCTTCCAAACTATGCAAAAACCTATTATCTTTACCAAGCCTGAAGATGGGACCCATTGATACACTCCTCCTCGTACCTCCCCCACAAATGATCAACGTTTTTTAATATTTATAAATCCAATTTATGCTAATGGAATGTCAGATGTCAACTAAACATGACTGACACTGTGTTACCAGCTTATCTGGAAAAATTGGTAAAAATTGCTACCAAATATACAGTCAACAGATAGAATTAATAATAGGTATTTAGATAGAGATAGAGAGATTTTGAAAAAAATATTTAATATATACTTTATTTTGAATAATCTGTAAATATTTTGGAATCGATGATCACTTCATTCCCTAGAATCCGCAAAACGATGATATGAAGATATGAAGCCGCCACCGCTATAATAACCTCTCCCATAGCCACCTCTCCTGACGCCACGAAAACTAACTCCTCTGCCGCCAGCAAAACCACCACCTTTGCTGCCACCAAAACCTCCTAGTCTTCCGCCAACACCAAAGCCTCGACCACCTCCTCCGCCGCCACGTGCCACACTCACATCACAAATATTAAGAAGAATAATTATTGCAATAAATAACAACAACATTTTATTCATTTATAAGAGTTTTTCCGTTATTCAAATAAGCCTTTAATTCACGATCGATTTTAAAATACTGAAAGTTATTTTTGTTCAGAATTATTTTTATTACACATTAAAATGGATATTTGCGTTTTTGTATCTGATATCTTAATTACAACATTATTACTCCACGCACGATTTCCAATTGGCTCGGTCACACGATTTCCAATTGGCAAAAGTCCAGCTCGTGAATTTTCCACTTCAGAAGACAAATTTCCGCCAAACTGGTTGAAATTCCTCCATGTTTATGGTAAATTCTTCAGCATCACTCGCTCCACAATCAGTCATTGATCCGTCTCGAAGGACCAATGATAAACAGGAGATCTGTTAAAAAAAAAAACGTGTCCAAAACCGATTCTCAGGCACTGTGCGCCGTACATGATTTTGTGTCATTCAAACATTCATTATGAGCTATATCTAAATCCGAATCAATTTCAACAAAACTTAATACACGCCATTCAACACTCAATTCGGTACGCTATGCAAAATTTCGTGTCATTTCAAAATCTAAATTTTTAAATCGAACAAAAAAATGTTCTATATATAGATAAGACCAAAAAGATAGAGCACCAGCTCCTACCGGTGGTTTAATATATAATCATATATTTAGTAATTTTTCGTGGTGCTTCAACAACAATTCAACAATTTTTATTTTAAATTAATTTCATTAAGAATTTAAAAAATATTTTTTCTGAATCGTTGACCACTTCTTCATTTTTTTAGAAACCAAAACCTAGACCGCCACCATAATATGGATATGGGCGACGAAATGGTGGAATAAAGGCACCGCCACCGCCAAATCCTCCTCCATATCCATAGCCGCCACCTCTGCCAAAGCCACCGCCACGACCCCCGCCAAAACCACCTCCTCTGCCGCCACCAAATCCACCACCTCTGCCGCCACCAAAACCACCTCCTCTTCCGCCGCCACCAAAGCCCCCACCTCTGCCACCGCCGCCAAATCCTCCACCTCGGCCACCACCACCTCCTCCATGACCCCCGCCACCTCCACGTGCCTCGCTTACATCACACATGGCCACAATAATTATTGCAATAAATAATA